TAGCAGGATAATATTGCCCAGAATTCGTTTGAGAAGCATTTTGAAGACTTCTGACGAAATGTGTGGCCACCATATTCGTCCAAGACCAATGACCTATCTTTGAGAAGTGGTGATGTCTATTAACACGCACCTATTAATATCGGAAACTGTGGACAGCTATCCAGACATAATGGCTCAACATCTTATTGGTTTACCCGACCACTTGTGAAATCAATGTCACATCGATTTGCTGCAAATGAAAGAATGGAGACCACTACGTTTGGTTCAGATAAAACCGATCAAAAATGTGTTGTAGTGTGATGAGAAAAAATATAATGCATGGTAATAGATCTGGCGTAGCGTGTCTAAATACGTGTAACAACAACAGCGTATCATCAAGGTGGAGTAATGGATAGCGACTCGGGTTGAGGAATCGAAGAGCCGAGTTCGAATTCCAGTCAAATTCATTACATTCACTTACGTGCTAATACCCTTGATGAATCATCTTCTTCTCCCGCCTCAATAGCAGGACAGGCCAGGTTCTCTAGCCTTGGATGGCAACTGGTCTACCGCAGAAATAAATGGCAACCTACTGCGGTAAAAAATCTGCCTCATCAGTCATGTATTGAAACATTCCTTACCTAACCATAAAAAAATAATTCATGAATTTTATGGCGTCCTGGGTAAGACATTAAACTACATCCGCGTCCTGGGTAAGACGATAAACTACATCCAGCAGCAAGGCCTCTGACCAGGAGGTTTTGAAGAGCGTGGAACCACCTCTTAATTGCTGGTGTTCCCAGATCCACCCTGACCCAGGGTGATAGCACCTGTTAGGGTCCCAGCTATAGGCAACAGGTTAACTATTACCAGCAATACTTATTTGAAAAAAATTATTACCACCAATACAATTTTGAAGGAAAAATATTACCAGAAACAGATTTTTGACAAAACAAAATAATACTAGAAATATTGTCGGCATTAAATAACCCATTGAGGTTGATATGCCGTAAAACAAAATAAACCAAACCAGGAATTTTATGTCAACTACATTATATTTAACAAAATAACCCTTTACCACGAGTGGCCCAGAGCTTTGTACAGTGTGAAACTTATTGTAAAAATAGGATTAAGTACCGCTCATTTACGTACAGAGTGTTCCAAATTCCAAGAATGTTATCGGTGCAGGGCTAAGAATTAAATCCCGTAACAAGCAATCAAAGAATAAAAGCACTGGACTGTTACGTAATATTAGTCTTCCTATATGATAGCGAAAGCTGGACAATCTCCTCACAAATGAAAAAGAGACTTCAAGCAACAGAAATGTAGCTCTACCGAAGGATGTTGAGGATATCCTGAACCGATCACTTGAGCAACGACGAAGTTTTAGAAAAAAATGAAAACAAAAAGGAAACTTATATTTAACATCCAGAAGAGACAGTTGAAATTTCTAGGGTATATAATAAGGAAAGAGGCCTTGGAAAATCTGATACTCGCAGGACAGAATGAAGGCAAGAGGGACAGAGGAAAACAAGGCTTAACCTACTTAGTGAGTTTGAGTAAATGGATGGCGGAACAAAGTTTAAGAGAAATAACAAAAAAAAATTATTAAGGCTACGAAGTAGAAGAAATTGTGGAGAACCATGATCGCCTACGCCCTGAATAAACACGACGCAAAAGAACCAGAAATTTGGATTGCTGAATTTCTATGTGATATCCATCTTCTAACATATCAATGAATATTGGATAATCTCCCTACGGATGAGGAAAAAACTAAAGGTAGCATAAATTTGGTTCCACAGAAAGATATTGAGAATTCTATGAACGGAACGATTAAGCAACAAGGAGGTCTTAAAGAAAATGGCAACAGAGAAAACACTTATATTCAGAATCATGAATAGAGAGCTGAAATTCCTTGCATAATAAAGAAAGATGGCTTGAAAAGTTTAACCCTCAGGAGCCATATTGAATGTAAGAAAGATAGGAGAAGGCAGCGAGCCACCTTTCTGGCGAGCTTGCGTGAAGGGATAGCGGAAAGGGAGCGGGGGGTGCCTTAGCAAAGGGAGAAAAACCGCTAAGAGCTATACGAGATAGAAATGTTGTAAAGAGTCATGATTGCCTATATCCTGAAGGAATGCGACGTATAGAAGAAAAACCAGCAAGCGAATGTCCCTAATTTGTTGCATATTTTTCATAGGTTCCGTTTCTTCTGACGCAGGAACAATGAAGTGGATCTCTCTATAAGATGAGAACACGTTCTTAACGACATTTGAAGATTCAAGTTGCTCGTGAGCGACACATAGTTATCCAGAAGTTCTTTGTCGTCTGATATGAGAAGAGGACAAGACGCAAATACATATACACAACAATTAGCAAAACAGAATTATGCCGATATGCAACATGCGACAATTATTACTGCATATATCTATATAAATAAATGCGAATGTCAGTGTGTCACACTTAATCAACTTTACTCCTAGAGGTCGTAGCCCAACATATCATACCATTTTGGAATCAAACCGATCCCGGGAGCAAATTAAAAACATTCCGGACCGGATCCAAACCCTCAATCCTAAAATTTTGGATCCTAAATTTTCATTATTGCGATTGTTTTCGGCGATATTTTAAGTGATTTTTTGCGACGAATTTTTTTTGTACTATAAGAATTTTTATAACTTGGAAATAAATTCTGGAATAACCGAAATTAATTGCGAAAGTCATCCATGAAATAAAAATAATTTTTGTACTGAAAGTAAGGACCTACGTACATCAAATTCTCTTTAAATTAAGTGGCGACAGAAGAATTATCGTTGAACTTTTAACAGTTAAGCTTAAATATTAATGCAATACTTAAATGCAGCGATCAATTTTGAGTTCTTCTGTAGTTTATTGTTGCCTATCACATGCGACAGCATTATGCCTCACAAAAAGAAATCTCCTCCAACAGAGGAGCAGATTGCAATCCAAAGAGCCAAGCCTTCAGCAAAGAAAAGAAAGTCTCCTGTCAATGAAAACTCAGATCAAACGGCAACCACAAGAGCTTACAATGCTGAGAATATACAAAGACTTAGAGACTCTCAAACTCCTGAACAGACCGAAGGCTCAATCAAGAACCCTCCGCAGGAGCAAGCTTAAATGCCGCCTGATAGGGCAACTTTTAAGCTAGTACGGTATATACGACAGAATCCTCCTGGACGACATTTTGCAAACTAACCTTGTTAGAGAACTTGTTTTAAAATAGCAAATGTCTATATTCGGTGATTTACTAGACTAGATGATTTCAAAACCGCTTTCAATCAGATTGATAATAAGCAGTGTTTTGGATGTAGGTGGGGTACAAGCACCCGAGAGTCTACTTGAAGGGGATTAAGATTGTTATACGTGCTTCATAAGCGACAGTCGTGAGGGTGTGTACCCAGATTTAAAAACAATTGAATAAAAGTGACACAAATTGGACAAGACCTCCGTATGTGAAATAAAAATTAATCTAGCCAATGTAACAATATGTACCAATATTTGAAATCAATGGATATCTTTTACCTTTATAGCTTTATATGATTTGATAGATAGATAGATAGATAGATAGATAGATAGGAACAGCATGACAAAAGATAGATAGATAGATAGATAGATAGATAGATAGATAGATATTTTTGGTAAATCAGTTTTATGAAATTCATAAAAATTCTGGTAATTAGAAAATCTACATTTAAAGGTACTTGTCCAGAGTATTTGTCAAAGCCTTGTGTTTCTTTCATGTTAATAGTGTCTGTTCGCGCGACTTTTTGCACGTGTTTGTGCAAAAAGAAATGCATGTCAGCGTACATGAGTTTATATGAGTATAAATGTGTACAGACAGATTTAATAGCAATCCAATTTATTCACTCCAGAGAAAACGTGCAAGTTTTGCAATACACATCAATTAACAGTAACAAAACTACTCAACACATACCAGTCTTTCGTAAACTCTTTCCAATCTGTGTGTGTGTGTGTATTCATACGCGTGTATGTGTGTGCTCATGTCTTCCCTCTCGTTCTTCTACCTTCACTTTCCGCTAGTTGCTTTATTCACCGCCGCCTTCCATTTTGCTTGCAGAGGTCATCAATCCTGACGCCATCTTAGTAAGTCAGTGTTGCGCATCGTTGGCACTCTTACTGGCAGGACAAGCGGAATTAAGCGCCCCCTGGTGGCCGCAAACAGATGAAGGGGAAGGCACTGTCGCTATATGTAAATCCCTGGCCTGCACCAATCTGACATATTACTTTCTCCTACGGCAAAAATCGAACAGATATCGATGGAGCCAAACGAGCGTGTGTCACTGGACCGACAAACGGAGCGCACATTCAGGACGACCATGGGAGCAGACGACCGCATGTCTGTCAGTGTATGTTCTCGAGGTAACTGTCAATCCATGAATAGAAGTCTCCGTAAAAAAGCAAGCGTGTACACAAACACATCTACACATAGATAGATAGATAGATAGATAGATAGATAGATAGATAGATAGATAGATAGATAGATAGATAGAACAGATTTATTTAGATAGATATGAACAGATTTAGATAGATATGAACAGATTTGAATAAATATGAACAGGTTTAAATATGTAGATATGAACAGATTTAGATATGAACAGATTTAGATAGATATAAACAGATTTATTTAGATATAAACAGATTTAGATAGATATAAACAGATTTAGATAGATATGAATAAATTTAGATAGATATGAACAGATTTAGATAAATATGAACAGATTTAGATAAATATGAACAGGTTTAAATTGGTAGATATGAACAGATTTAGATATGAACAGATTTAGATAGATAGATAGATAGATAGATAGATAGATAGATAGATAGATAGATATGAACAGATTTAGATTTGTATGAGTTAGAGCCACATTATTGCCCATATACCAAACTATCTATGGGACAGTTGTGCATGTCATACGTGGGCTAATGATTTCGGAATATTGAATGTTTTTTTTTTAAAGTTAGAATTCCTCGCTGAAGAATTGATGCAACGCTGTCTTCCTGTCTTTATCTACTTTTTTTTTACTAATTATTCACCAAATACAAGGCCCAAAAGCCGCTCAAGGTACAGTGTTACTGAATGAAGCTGCTGTATAAACGTAAGTGGAGGGGTTAACAAGTGCAGATTATGAAGATATGAAGGAAACATAACGGTTAACCTTAGACTTGAAGGGGCTTACGGTCACATCATGTTGAAACATCAGTTACCGTACGATCACCGAAGTTAAACAACGTCCAGCCTGGTCAGTACCTAGATGGGTGACCGCTTGAGTATACCAGATGCTGTAAACTTGGATGCGCGGCTGTTGTAATGGATAACGACTCGGAATTGTTAATCGAAGAGACGAGTTCCAATTCCATTCGGATTGGTTATATTCACTTACGCGCAAATATCCGTTGGAAAGACATAAATCTATCTCTTCTCTCCCCAGCTATGGGTTAATTAGTTAGATTTGTATCACTAAATCATTATTATCTCCAGAAAACATTCTTACAATGTAAAGATATTTTCTGGCTTTAAATATCCTGCAAAAGTTTGATAAGCTGTAGAAAAAAATAGACTTGATGAAGTTAAGATTGTTTTTTTGTTTTTTTTTTGAAAGTAAGTTTTACCCTGTACAAGGCCCAGGGTCCATTCAGGGTAGAGGGCCACGATAAGGTGTAGTTTATATGGATAGGAGGGGAAGATAACGGTTGACTCTAGACGTGAACAGATTAAGTTTGTAGTGGTTGAGGAAACATCCTCTGTTGCATAGGACAATGGTTCGCAGGTAGAAGCTGTTTGAGTGGAGCTTACTTCTCGCCGATGGAATACGGAGAGAATATGGGTGGTTTGCTACCATGTAATAGCAATGGCGGGTCCTAGCCGTGAAGGTCAGGCCTGCTGGAACCAGGAGATGCAGTGTTGGTCTTAGCATTTTCCATGGTAGTATCGACAGAGCAGCGAAAGGCTCGCTACATCCCGCCTGTGAGAGAGAGAGAGAGAGAGGGGTTGAAAGGTGGGAATTAATTCTTCTCCTACAAAGACTCGGAGACGCTCAATCAAAACTGGGAAGTGAGGTCTATTCAGCTCCTGCCTAAATATGTCACCAGCATTCCATTTTCGGTCTGATCTGGCTCTTATAAAAGGTGTTCCACAAAGTAGTGATTATTGTGAAGAAGGTCTTCGAATGTAACTTCCTTCTTACCAAGAGAATACAAAGATAATAGATATGCTTGGTCCCAGTGGTATGGCGGATCTTTGCTGTGAAGGTCTGAACTGGTGGAACTAATGACTGTAGCTCGTCAGAACTTTTACCATGCAAATAGCGATAGACTTACGATGTTTCGTCTGTGGGAAAGGGGTTGCGGAATGGAAAATAATTCATCACCCACGAGACCATTATGAACTCTGTCGTGTTTGGATAGTGAGGATTGAGCAGCTTCAGCAATATCAGCAATACTTTATTTTTGGTTTAATCTCGCTGTTGTAATGATAGAGTATTGTAAGAGGAGTCTGGTACTTCCTGGTGCGGTTCAAGGAACCGACCATTATCCGAGCATCTTTAGCGATGAATTGTATATTCGAGTTTTAATCTCTTTATATCACGGCCTATTCATATCTATCTATCTATCTATCTATCTATCTATCTATCTATCTATCTATCTATCTCAGTCTACCGATATCTATCACAGCCTATTCATATCTATCTATCTCAATATATTCATATCTATCTCAGTCTATCCATATCTATCACAGGTTATTCATATCTATCTATTTCAATCTATTCATATCTATCTCAGTCTATCCATATCTATCTATCTATCTATGTATCTATCTATCTATCACAGCCTATTCATATCTATCTATCTATGTATGTATCAATCAATCACAGCCTATTCATATCTGTCTCAATCTATCCATATCTATCACAGTCTATTCATATCTATCTATCTCAGTCTTTTCATATCTCTCTATCTTAGTCTATTCGTATCTATCTATCTATCTATCTATCTATCTATCTATCTATCTATCTATCTATCAATCACAGCCTATTCATATCTGTCTCAATCTGTTCATATCTATCTCAGTCTATTCATATGCCAGTCTATTCATATCTATCTATCTATCTATCTATCTATCTATCTATCTCAGTCGATTCGTATTTATCTACCTATTTATCTATCAATCTATGTCTACCCTTAAGTTTCTTTATAACAGCCTGTGCACTCGTGCGTGTATATGCCTGTTTGCTTATATCCAGAGATAAGTAAAAGTGTATTTATATCATCATCACATTGGCCCCTGTCAAGACTGGTTATACGTGTAGCAGTTTAATGCCGAGCAGGAGAACAGTCGAATGTCAAGTTGTGCACACTGACACACCTGTCACCGCCTTCCAGATGAGATGACCATTCTTCTAAAGATCAATCAGCACGAATCAATGGCTGTACTTTCATGTCAAGGATCGAATTCCTTGTATTTCTAATTTCTTTAAAGATTTTGTCGACGTTTACGTGGATTCCTGTGTGTATGAATGTGCGGATAGCGTAGCGGTTATCAGCACCGGAAATGGAAACAGTGTGTCAAGTTCAAGTTCCGGTCTAGTCGGTTGCGTCCACTATCGTACTAATACCCTTAGGAAAGCTATGAATACATTTCTTTTCTCCAGCAATTTAAGTAGCAAGGTAGACTGAGCTTTCTAGCCTTGAGTGGCAGTTAGTCTAATAGGATTATTATGAATTCAAAAGCGTGGAGAGGCAACGGGTAAATACTTCATGATATTTCTCAAGAAGTCATGGTAATTCACAGATTGTTGATTGATTAATTTATCTGTTTTTTACGGCTTATCAACCCTTTGTAGGTTATTTAAAGCCAAAACGTATTTTGGATTGTAAGAATATATGTACTTCCACGAGATCGCTAAAAAAATCAGCATACCGTGATGAAAACATGCTCCAAACGTAATGAAAACATAGTTTTATCGTTAAAATCTTTATGTTCTTATTAAGAGGAAAGATCAAAGTATTTTTTGAATATTTAATTAATTTTTTATTTCTTTTTAAAACATTTGAAATTTTGAATAATTTTAAAACAATTTTTATTTGTGTCTGTATGCGTATATACGTGCAGACTTTCTGAAGTATAGAAGATCAAACCTATAACATTATCATTAAAAGGCCACGTGTTTTAAGGATTGTCCCATTTACGGAGAAAAAAATCATATAAACTTTATCGTCTGCTCCACCATACTTAACTATGAACGCGTTCGGCTGTCAATAAATCGATAATACGTAAAAAAAAAAAAATGGTCCGGCGGTTAAGAAATGCTTGTATACAACATTTTATGCTCTAAGTAATATTTGTTTCAAATCAGATTAATTTAACTTTATATTTGCTAATTTTCCTGAAATAACTTGTCACAAATATATATTATATTTTGGAAGATTTTTAAAACCGAGAATTAACTTTTGTTTACAATTGTGTCAAAATGGCCGTTTTTGTCGATTTTACTAACTAAAAGCCGATTCCGATCAATATAATTTCTGTTCGAAGTACACCATAGAGTATTTTGATTACTGGAAATAGCAAATTTTAAATCCTTTAGCCTTAAATTAAAATTAAAATGAAAGCTTTTTTCCTTTTTAAAAATTCATTTTAAGCCTTATTGAATTAGTGGCGGTACCTAAAAGAATAATACTCTTATTTGCGAGTGAATATTACATAAACATTTTTTTATAATAATGATTTTCCAGATAAAAATCCTACTATTTAACCCATAGCAAACAGGCGAGTTAAAATTTCTCAAGCGTATTTGCGCGTAAGTGTATGTAACAAACCCGACTGGAATTCGAACTCTGCTCAGCAATTTCTCATTCTTGGCCGCTATCCATTACACCACACATACAATCGGTAAATTCAAAGAAAAAAAGGATCTGTGGAGAGACGTGATCACTTACATCCTAAAACGATAGCATTTCAAAAAAAATATGTAAGCATGTGATTCTGTTTCACTTCAACCAGCTTCAGCAGTGTTCAGTTCATTGAATAGGCACATACACTGCCAAACAAATCTTCCCTAAAATGTACGTCCCTATCCCTAACTCGATGTTTTATGTTTGTTTGTTTTTTTCTTTTGTTTTGTTTTCTTTAGCACAAGTACAATTTCATCTAGCCTTTCAAAACTACGGATTGGACTTAGCAGGTGGACAGTGTCTTTTTTTACTGGTCACAAGAGAGACATTTCGGTTGTATGAGAATCGACGACATAGTTCGAATGGAGAAAAATGAAAACGAGGCTACAGTGCAATGGCGACATTCAAAATCCATTGATTGTGCCTCATAATACACCAGTTAAGAAAGGAAGCGGCTTTCTGAATTATAATCCTACAGAAAGAAAACTTTTTGACGCCATTATTACTACTGCTGGTGGTGGTGGTGGTGGTGGTGGTTTTTCTCATTTTAGCAATCGCCGCCGAGGCTGGCTTTTTACCTAATGGGTTTTCGGTTGGTAACCAAGCGAACAGACAGAAGACCCTTGTGACTGACCGGCTGACCAATCAGTCCACGTGCGACAGTATTTTTTTCTCTCTCCCCAAACCCACGCTCTCTAACTTCTTGTCTAAACTGAATGGAAAAAAATCTCGTGACGCAAGCAATGGGAATTAAAGCCAGCAATTATAACATGACCAATTGTTTGAACGCACCATCACTTTCCACATAATATTTGTTAATCGTAAGAATCGAGAAAGTCACAGGTAATAATTACCACCTATGTCCCATAATGGTTGTTACATTTTCATACACATTTCAATCGAACAGAGGTCAACATTAACTACTACTCAAACTAAGTACTTCCTACCCCTTCTTCACTTCTCTACTAGAGCAATAATTGCAGTCCTAACAATGTAAGAATAATAATTATAGTTCTAACATTATAAGTTGTAATTACAGTTTTGTTGTGGAGATTACCCCACCTTGTTTGCTAGTACGCCCGTTAGGTGTCGTTCTGTTCAGAACTATAAAAGCAACGACCATGAATCCGCCTCCTCTCTGATTTTGCCCAGCGATGTATTCTATTCACAACATTGGGACTTATCTTACACTGCTACGGTTAAGTAGATGTTTTATTTACTTTATTTGAACTATCTGTAAACACGTAAATATAATTTTCTCCATCTTCTTTTCTAGGCGATATTGCTCGTTAGATATTTACGTTACAGTTCAACAGTTTGAGGCCACCCCTGGTATTTTTTTTTATATTGGCCCCAAAACTAGTTGTTTCGTATTTTAAATAAGAGAAAAATATTATACATGGTTAACGAAAACGTCAGAGATTTTTTTTTATTAGAAATTTTATTATGTAAAAAGAAAAATGCATTTTATGATTAAATTTTTGCTCTCGTCAAAATATCCTCCTTTATCCTTGATTACTGCATCACAATTTTTTGTCATTCATTGTAAA